GCAGAATAAATGGCAGCTCTTTCTAATCATCACTAAAACTGTGGGAAATTCCAAAGAGGCCTTCCAGGATCTGGTGACAGTGAAGCTGTTACAGCATCCCCGCGAAAGTCGTTAGGTGGAAATCATGTAGAGGGTAAATTTAGACACCAGAGCATAAAGAACATAGACTGGAAGACATTATATTCTCTTGTAGGATGAATGCATTTACTCAGTTGTTTGGCAAATATTTATAGACTACCTGTTACCTACCACAGATGGTAAGCACAAAGAGGGTGCCTGGGTCACTCAGTCAGATAAATGTCTGACTTGATCTCAACTTGGGTCTTAATCTTAGAGTTGTGAGTCCAAGCCCCACACTGGGCTCTGTGCTGGGCATGACACTTACTTATAATAATAATAATGATGATGACGATGATGATGATAATAATAATAAATAAAGCACAAAGACTAGACAGACTTGGTTGTAATCCCAGATTGGCCCTTTACTAGCTCCATGACCTGAGTTAGTTTATCCACCTTTTCTGAGCTTCCCTTTCTTCATGTGTAATAATGGAATAGCACAACCTCATTGGGTGTTTGGGAGGATGACATTAGGGAACACACAGTGTGGAGCACACAGTAGACATGCCACGTGTTTGTTTTCTCCACTTCCTGAATCATCTGACTTGAGTAACAAACAAAAATTAGGATCTAAGACTTAGTGACTTGGACCTTAGACACCCTAGTCCATGTGATCTTACCTGTTTGGTCATTTGCAAAATGAAAATAGTAATACCTCACAAGTCATGGTGACGGTCATACTTGGGATCTTGTTGCAGGCACAGGAGAGGCTCTCCTTCCCTCCCTCCCAGCCACCCCTTCTAGATCTAGCCTTTTCAGTGGGAACAATATTGCCCCAAAAGAGACAAAAATTGGTTCCTAGGAAATGAAAAACCGTATCCTTTTTATGTAAAGCACAGATACACACAGTACATCAACAGACATATAGTATATCTGTGGCATGAAAATTTCATCAGGGACAGAGGGAGGGAGATGAAGAAAAAATATCTAAATAAGATACTTAGCAGGGGGCCATGGGGGCATCCAGAGAAAAAGATGGAGAAACATTGGTCTAGAGTAGATCTCCTTGATAGACTGTGGCCATCAAACCATTACCGGGACAGGCACACTTCTGGGAAGCCAAGTACCTGTGACTAGCCATCTTCCTTTATGTCTTTCTTTTAACCCCGTAGGTGAGGTCTCTATTTAGTCTCCAATGCAGGCTGTATTATTTGTTCTTATAATCTGGCCCCACTTTTCTTCTGACCAAACTATGTTATCAGGCACCAAATCCACAAAACATAAGAAAAGTAGAAAGATGAATGAACGTCTTTGGGTCTGAATTCCAAAGAGTGCTCTTTTGGCACGGTTTAAATAAGGTCAGTATTCTTTTTAATCTTCTGTTTAGGCCCCTGTGTCAAGTAAACTATGGCTTAACACCAGGGTGCATCGCTTCGTACATTCTGTTCATCATGCATTAAAAAATGGTCGAAATAACAACTTCGCCTCCATAGCATGGCGTCTGTGATTCTGTGATTTTCAAAACCACCTCGGGCACAATATTGAATCCTGTCACCTCAAGGGAAGAAAAGCATTTGAAGGTAGAAGTGCTACCCTTTCTGGCTCTTAATAATATACTGTATCTGTAATGCAAGAGGAAATTCAGAGGTTGGTTTTAGAATGAATAAACTCACGTGTAGTTTGCTATTGAAATTCAGGAGACAATACCCCGTGGTGCTGGTGCCGTATGATAATAGATGATTTTTACACTCAAGAATCTGAATCACAAAGCTGCATTGGATTTACACATAGTGGTTAGAGGAACATCTGTATAAGAAAATACCAGAGGACAGCACAGTGTCGTATAAAAACTATTTGCCAATAAATCTGCTTTTGATGGGCTACTAAAAATGGACACATGAGGCATAAGAGATGTGCGTGCCTATTGCGGAGTCTAGCTTTGTGCACGATGACAAGCGTCCGCTGGCACACGGAGATAAGAAACAGCTGTCCTTGGTGTCGGCACTCCTGCAAGAAATGAAATGATAATTTGGGGACACACGTATAAGAGTTACCATATATTTGATCAACTTTTAAATATACGCAGTACCAGAATCTTCTGGCAGCCCCAAGTGAAATTGCCGACAACCTTTGAACAGTCTCTTTAGAAGGAGCCCTGAATCTAATCACACAGAACCTTCACTGGACTGTGTGTTATTTCCAAAGCACGTAGTTCCAGTGTGTTTGTCTTTGGTGGTGATGGGGCAGGGAAGGAATGGGGGAAAGCCATAGTTATTTCCCCACCTTTTTTTTTGCATCAAGGACATGTTTTCGTATAAAATTTTAGGGTTTTACATGATGACTGCAAAGCACTTGCTACGTGCATCTGTAAACTGTGAGTCAAAGGGGGAAAAACATCTTTCAGCACAAAAACTTCATGGAACTTGACCATTGGATTTGATAGCTACACAGAAAGACAAATGGCTTGTCTTATTTTAAAAACTAAAAAATTAACACTTTTATATACATTTTCATGCATATAAATTTTCATGCTCTGTATGAAAGATTGACAGTTGAGAACTACAGTGATAAATGCTTAAAGTTTCATGTTGATCTGGAAGTTAGAATTCTTTGGGAATATTCTTCTTACATCTTTCACCTGTTTAGTTTAAGCCTGTCCTGAGTACTCCTCTGGCATTTTAGTGTTTTTTTTTTTTCCTTTTAATGGTAACAATGCAACATCAACTCTAGGTATTCAGTGTACGGCCAGCCATTAGTCCCGCTGGGCATCGCTGCTTTTCCTCTGTCTGTGGCTAGATTTTCTGCTTGACGTTTGCTCCATTCAGGCAGAGCCCCCGGGAGCCACCCAAGCAGCCAGTAGACCTCTGCAAGCACTTGTCTCTAAGAGATACCTAGGTATATTACAGGAAATCCACATGGACTCTTCTGCTATCAGAGGACATCCACAGCACCCTCCCAATCAGAAGTAATTTTTGAACCGTTAGAAATATAAAGAACTGGAAAAGAACAATGACAGAAATGGTCGGATTCAGCCCATAGACACCTGTAAGGAAAGAATAGCCCTTGTTTCTCGGTTCAGGCATTTATAGGCTTGGCAGTGCAGCCAGTGAGAGCTGGACCAGACACTCTCTGAAATTCTCTTCTTTCTTCTGCGATGCTAGGGGTTTAACGGGAGGGGAGGGGGGGTATGCTGAGCAGACAAGAGCTAGGATTTCTGGCTCTCTATCCCATTTCCTCCTAGAGTGAGAGAGCTTGGGTTTTCACGTTTCCATAGCATCAGACTCTCCCCAGGTAGGTCAGGAAGTCCAACCTAAGTTCTCAAATCAGATCTTACTTTATCACCTTATCAGGGCAAGAGAGCTGTATCCTAGCAAAGAAAAACAAACAAAAGGAGAGTAGGACAGATAATGAGAGAGGCAGAAGGGGTAAGAATAGAAAAAGAACCACAGAGTGAGATAGGATGCAAGGGACTACTTCAAAGCAGCGGATAAATGTCTTTTTCCCCCCATATTAAAAACCTGCCCAGCAGAATGAAAAGGCTTAATTAGCAGCTAAATACAAATCCACGTCCTGTATCTTTTCAATGACGTATCACCAAGGTACCAAGCAGAATGCCTGGTCAAAGGTTGGGTGATTCAGTCCCTCTATTGCTCTATATAAAACAAAGAATCTGTAGTTTCATTACCCTTAAATTGTCTGGCAGTGGGTGAAGTTAACTTTTATTAGGAGCTGTTCTTTCATATTATACAGTGTAGTCAAGGATATATTAGCTTTGACATTTTCTTACATCTCAATTACTGTGGCGTGAATTTACTGTGAGGCTAATTTAGAAGGAAGCTTTTCAGAGGAGGAAATAATGGTCAGCATCAGCTATGCTACAAATTATAAGCAGGACGAAAACTCAGGGGGAAAATGGACATCCGCATACAATTGCTAGATGTTACTAAGCATGCTTCTTATATTTGTATTCCTGATGATATTCTTTCTCTCTCAAAACTCCGGTTTTGTAAAAACTCTATTCCGGGGGAAGATTTTGGTGTTGAACAAATGGTATAGTTTATCCTAATGTAATTATTCTGTCTTAAAGAAAGAAACATCCATCAGATCAAACGCATCCATCAGATCAAAAGGTGTTCTCAGAGCTCAGCCCCCTTGGGAAATGAACCCCCCACCCCCCCACCCCCGACAACAATTTAAGCATTTAAAATACAATTTAAAGATGATTGATTGGACTATTACACAATAAGGTCGTTAGAAAACAGATTCCCAGTATGTGAAATTTAATTTCACCTATAGGATTCATCATTCACTGCAGAAGGTTTATTACACTCTGGTATCAGGTGCCATTCTCTGACTTTGGGTTGTTTTTTTCAATAAGATCATGCCGATCGGCTGATATTTTGTGGCACCAATTAAACATATTATTGGCCAATGAAATTGGATTCTCTTTAAACCGAACAAAGACGAAAACAAGCATAGAAGAATGATAAGTGTAGTCTTTTAGCTTCCGGAACTTAACATGTAACTATATCACGCAGGGATGTTTTAGCTGCTAAACTAATAAAACCCAGTCAGTCAAATAGTAAAAGATATTGAGAAGCAGCAACAGGAAGTGCTATAAGGAAAGCACCCAACAGAGACACATAAGAGAAAATCCATCCGTCATCCGTCGACTCATTCAGTTTCTTATCTGTTCTATAGGTTTAGCGCTGGAACGGGTTTTTTTTTTTTTTTCCTTTGCATTTATTTTTGTGCCTGAATGAGTTCAGTTTCACTTAGATTAGGACAGAAACTTCAGAACAGCAGGTTAATCCGTCCTGTCTTCATGGGCAACTGAGCAAACAGACCAATATCAGTGTAAAATTGTAATTCTGGAGATTAATGTTGTCTTTTCCTGTTTGTGGTGAACTTGACCTTCTGGGTTTCTTTTTTTCTTTCAGCTTCTGTCCAGGGTCCCTGGGAGAGAGCCATCTCACCAAACAAAGTGCCCTACTATATCAAGTAAGTCGGAAGCAGCACATTCCTAAAGGAGCATTTATTGTGACTAATCTGCATATTCACAAATGAATTTATTTCTACGATGTGACTGATTTAACATGGCTTACAATACCTACTTCTCCATTCTCCAAGGAAGCTTGGAAGGTCAACTCATGACGCCGCGCATGTGCTGATGCAATAGGGAACTGCCTTTAGGAAAAATCCATTTAATGCCGCCTGTTTGTTGTGTTTTGTGATTGGAAGGAGTGTGGATTTTCCACAGTAGCTCAAAAAGCTGCAGATAATATTACAAGTAGTGAGAGTGAATATTTATAAGGACAGAGTCGTTTGTTTAGGGGTGTTCCCACGTTTCTTTTTCAGCAAAGATGGATGATTTCTGCAGCTGTATGTACACACAGTGTTTTAGGTGAATAAATACTTCATGTACCCAAAAGGCAGTCAGTCAGCAGCGGGTCCGGATTTGTGGAGCTGAGGTGTTAATTCTCGATACATAGCACTCAGCGTTTTTCACATAACAACAGAGTGATACTGTTGTCTGGGGCCGTTGTGTCCATCAAAGGAATACAGGTGCTTAGAAGCACCTTCTGCAGGATGCTGTGTGAAATACAAATTATGATACATTGGGTCAACACGCAGAGGAGAGGAGTGAGGGCAGCGAGTCATTATGATACCTTAACAGTTTCTCATTGATTGTGCGATAGAGTTCAACTTCAATTTAACTTTGAAGCTGCTCTTTCAATAATTTAATTTAATCGGCTTCATGAAATAATCTTCAATACCAGCTCAAGGCTTTGAACCTGCTTCCGCCATGAGTCTGACTAAAAATACTCCATGTTTTCCCATTGTTTCGGCCCGCCATCTTTTATCGGGTCAGCTTCTGTTCTTCCCCTGCACATCAATTCTTCATAATTCAATTCTAAAGCAATCACAGCAATCCTAGATCTTCATGACTACCATTCTCCAGAAATTAGATCGCATGCCTCAATCCTGTTAACTCAGAAGAATGGGGATAAGGGAATTCTTTGGGCTATTCAGGGAGAGACAGATCTTTTAGGAAAGCTTTGTCTTATTAAATTTTCCCAGACAAAGTGTCTCTTACCTTCAAAAATTCTCCTTCAATTTGCTTTGATCCTGCATTTTATTTTTCTTATTTTTAATCTGTGTTATTTTTATTCCTTGTGATTATTAAGTCACCCTACATATTTTAAATACCTATTTTAAATTGCGTGGTTCATTGATGATAAATTGACTTTGAGACATGCACTGTATGGCTTTACATCCATTGTATATTTTGTGGAATCATTTTATTCAAACTCTGCCCAGTCATCTCCAGTGTTTTGGTCATCACAGATTTTCATCTCTAAGATGTTTGGGACTTGCTACTTCTTCATCCCGTTTATAAAGCTCTCACTTTATCCGATTCCTTTATGATAGATAAAGAGACAGTCTTTACTGGATAAAGAGTCTTCTTCTGTACCATAGATTGTTGGACCACCTGAGAACCCAAAACATCTGCAAGCAATTATTCTCCAGATCATTACCGTTTGCAGCTTATTAACTATCTCACGGGGATTCCTAGGGACCTCCCCACCCACTGTCCTTTCCCTAAATGTTTACTGTCTCCCTGTACACTGCTGTGTGGCAGTGAACATGAATTCAGTCCAAAAATAAAAAGGACACAAATTCCCCCTCATCGTCCAGTGCTCCTTCACTGACGTAAAGATCATGGGGACAGTACTGGTACTGGTGCAGATGTGGAAACAAGAAAACGTGAGGTCTAGTCCTGTCTCTCTCCTGAGTTGACTGTGTGGCCCTGGGCATGTCACTTGCCCTATACAAACCTTAGTTTCTCATTTATAGAATAAGAAGTTGGACTAAGGTTCTTTGTAGCTCTAAGAATCGACGAGTGTGACTCATTGAATGGGCTTGTCCAAATTATAAAACTTAAGATCTCAGCTTTTCTTTAAAAAGTTATCTTTATTTTTTAAATTCTTTACTTTAATCATTAATATAAATTCTTATTTTAAAAAAAATCATAGCAATTCTATTTTTCCATTGTTTAACTAGCTGCTGATATGCCCCCTCAACCCACTCCACTTTCTCCAGGTACCTATTTAAAGAGCTCAAATCTTGGCTTTAATTTAGGACTATCATTCTTCCTGATTTAATGGTAAGAGACATAGAACTCCAGACAGAAAAAAATTAGTAGAAAAGGGAATATGGACCTTAAACCCTCAGAAGTGATTGGTTTCTGGGAATGAGAAATTATGTAACTTCTCAAAAATACCCCTGAAACTTTACGGAGAACACTGTCTGTAAAAATTAAAATCTCCTGGGGCATCTGGGTGGCTCAGTTGATTAAGCATCTGACTCTTGATTTCGGCTCAGGTCATGATCTCACAGTGCATGAAATAGAACCCAGCATCGGGCTTTGGGCTGATATCACGGAGCCTGCTTAGGATCCTCTGTCTTCCTCTCTCTGCTCCTCCCTTGCTGGCTCACTCTTCTCTGTCTCTCAAAATAAATAAACATTTTTATGAATTAGAATCTATTGGAAATTAGAGATTATATAATTTCTCAACTGTACCTCTAAAATGTTAAGCTCATGTAGGGAGAACACATGTTCAGAAAACATACATTGTCAACAAACCGATTATTGATGTCATTTGTGATCCATTATTATACATTACTGTTGTCTAAAATTTCTTTTGATAGCAAACTACTTTGACATACAAGGTTCAGTGGACTTGACGCACTGGCGAACATCATTCATAATTCAAGATGCCTTATGTATCCACAAGTAGCAACACTGTACTTTTTAAAAAAATTTTTTACATTTATTTATTATTGAGAGACAGAGGGACACAGAGCACGAATGGGGGAGAGGCAGAGAGAGAAGGAGACAGAGTCTGAAGCAGGCTCCAGGCTCTGAGCTGTCAGCACAGAGCCAGACATGGGGCCCGAACCCACAAAACGTGAGATCATAACCTGAGCCGAAGTCGGACACTCATCCGACTGAGCCACCCAGGTAACCCTACTCATATGTTTATAATGACATTACTTCACCCAGTCCCCACCCCATTGTTCCTCTTTGTTATCTTGTTTGTGTAGACTTGCATTCAAGAGTTCTAACCGCCTGCTTCCAGGCACAAAGCCAGGTGTCTCCTCTGGATCTTTTTTTCATACTTCATCCTTTTTCCCTTTCGGTGCTGGGATAAACTGACCACCTAAATAACCAGAGGTTTCTGCAACAGTAACATAATTCCAGTTAGCTGTTGAGTTGTGCACTCATGCTTGAGGTTGTAAGTCAGGACCAGCATCTTCTGCTCTAGATTGCAAATCAGACGGCGTTTATGCCTGCATCCTGACACCAGCTTTTCAGAAGATGCTAAGAATCTTGATTTTGATACTTCACACTACATGTTTGTCTAGTTTATTAGTCCATGGCATTCATCATTGGTACAGTTTTCATATTCGCTCTCCCTGGGGTCTCTCTTACCACTGTCAGTATCTCTTTCAGGTTATTTGATTACAGCTTTCATTGCCACTGAAAAAATAATCACCAACAATGTTCAACCTGTTACAACTGCCTTTTCCACTCTCTGCCATTTTGTACTTTTTTGGCCTACTGTCAGACTCATGAAAATTTCAATATAATAGCCTTTAACCAGCTGCTGCATTCTGTTAGGATTTCTTTCACCTTTTTATGTTGCATACTCCCATATGGGGAAACTGCACGGAGCCAAGAGCTGGGACTCTCTTGCTTTCTTAATGAGTTAGAAAATTATTCTTCCGTGTTCTGGACTGTCAGAAGAACTTAGGAATCCCAAACTTGTATGCAGTATGCTCCTGAAAAGATGACATAACATGAGCATAGGAACTAGCACACTGGGGCAGACCGACAGGGCAGCTAGCCCAGAACTCTGTCCCCACATGTAGATGCCAGTGGCCGTTTGTCAGTTAACCAAGTAATTTTCACTTTAAAAAATTAGGATGCATCTTGACCATTTCTTACTAATGCGTCATCAGCCAGCAGGCATTGGGCTTATCCAGTGGTTTCTTAAACTTTTTCCACTCTCCCCTTCGGCCTTGTCTGCAGTAGACCAACTTGCATTAATTTGCTGATTTCTACTTAAAGAAATAAAGGTGTATTTCAGTTTCTCTTCAGTCTGCCTTTTTTTAACCTCAAGGGTCGGCCCCAGTGAAGTGCTGTGGAATTCAGTGGACACAAGGATGTTTACCCAAAGTAGACTTTTTTTAATGTTTATGTATTTGTTTTGAGAGAGAGAGCAAGAGCATGTATGCATGCCTGCCTATGAGTGGGGGAGGGGCAGAGACAGAGAGAGAGAGAGAGAGAGAGAGAGAGAGAGAGAATCCCAAGTAGCCTCTGCACTGCTAGTGTAGAACCTGATGCAGGGCTCAATCCCACAACCCTGGGGTCACGACCTGAGCAGAAATCAAGAAATCACGCTCAACCAACTGAGCCACCCAGGCATTTCCCCAAAGTAGACTTTAATCTCACATCCCCTTACAACCCCTTTTCGTTTTCATCTTCCCAGTCTGAGACATTCTAATCGTTTTTTAGGTTCTTAGTCTGTCCTTGAATGAAAGGCAAGTGTTCCCCTTGGTCACCTCAGTTGCTTTTCCCTAGATCTTTTCCAGCTCTGTTACATCTTCCTTGGGATGTCATGACCGGAATGGCCCAAATGTTGGTTATTAAATTTGTTAGCATTGTCTGTAGTCTCCCGTCAGTCATGAAGGAAGTAAATGCTGTTTCCTTTCTCCCATTGGTGCAGAAATGGGGAAACAAATTGAGGTCATAGCCTGTTCTACCTATATTAGTTCTGGCTAAAGGTTGGTTTGCTACAACTTTTCTGTAATACCAGCTGAAATGCTGGACCTTATATTTCTGCCATCTGGCCCTTAGGAAGGATTTGGTTTTTACACAAGCTGGTCCTTTCCTCTTTTAAAGGTGATACAGTTGCTAAATACTGGGAGGCATT